GGGAGTCCCCGGGCCCCCCCCCCCCCCCCCCCCCCCCCCAGCCCCGGGACCAGAGAGGGTGTCTGCCGGTGTTTCCGTCACAGCCCTCCGGAGGCGTCTGCTGTTTGGGCTGCATCAGCTGTCTGGGGTGGCAGGCAGGTGGGGCCGCCTCATACCAGACCTCCTGGAGCCTGGGCTGGGACGCAGGGCCCCCCAGTGAGCCCGGCCTGACCCCCTTCACCCCCACCCGGGTTGGGAACTGTCCAGATCACCTCAGGAACCCTGTCTTTTGGACAGGGCAGCAGCAGTTGATTATCTGTCTAGCTGATTCCCTCTCCCCAGGATTGAATAATGGAGCCCATGGGACCAGATGGAGGAAGAGGGTATGGAGAAGGTGGGGAATACTGATGGAATAAAAGCCAGAGTGGGCTGGGGCAGGGCCCTGAGCAACCTAGGAAGGGGTCTCCAAGCCCTCTCCCCCCCAGGCCGGGGTGGGGCGGTCCAGGCCCCCCGACTCTTGGCTCATCTAGCTTCTCCCAGGGCGCGGAGGTTTCTCCACCGGGGGCCGAGCTGCTGTGTGCATCAGTCTGCAAATGCTCCAGTCAGGAGAGAGAAACCCGAACAGGTAAAGTCGAATGTCGAGAATGACTGAAGAGGTGCCCTCTTGTGGAACGTGGTTGGGCGGGTGTGCGGGTTGAAAGCGGTGGACCCCATCTTCCTGTCTCCTCCAGCCTTCGAATCTCCCTCTTCAGATTATGCCACGGCGGTTCTGGCTTCTCGTAACCGTAGGTCACTGTTGAGTCCAAATGCCAGTCAGCCAACTAAGAAAGCTGTCAGGACCACGCCAGCTGCACTAGCTAACTTGTTATACCCAGAATCTCTAGTAAGTGCCCTCCTAGCGGTGAACTTGGCCCCATGCAGTGTTAAGATCCACTCTCACTGGCCTAACACCCCGAGAACCCACTCCTGTGCAGGTTCCCCAGGGTTGACTCTACATCTGTTTGCAAGTCTTGCCCTTCAGTGTAAGAGCTGTTTCCTTCTGGGTCATAGCACCTGTCCTCTGGAGCGTGCTGAGACTTGACCCTTGGCATTTGTGGGTCTAGTGGCAGCAGGGAATGCTTGTGAGCAGATCGCTGGTGGTCTACTCACACTGGTAAGGGAGGCTCCCAGTGACTTGGGGGTTCGAGATCATCTTCCCTTTGGGTCCAACCAGATGACCCGATTCCAGATTTCTGGATCCCACCGTTTACCAGTCAGTGCCCTCACTTTCGTATGAGAAACTTGTCAAGACTGGGAATTCAACTGTCATAACTCAGCAACTCGAAATCCAAATGTTGTGTTGTATTTTCAGCAGTATCTACAAGTAAGAACTTTGGGGGGCGGTGGGGGACTGCCATGGGAGCTTTCCAATTCTGAAGGGGTGACTTGAGCCAGGTACTCCAGGCAGTCTGCCTAGCCCTATCTTTAGAACTGTCATTACTGCCACAGCATCAAGTGCAGCAGCCTCAAGTGCACAAGGCTTCAGTTGGCACCTCAACACGACCCCAGGCAATAGCATTTTCATGATGCGGTTGCATGCCTTAGTTTTTTTTTTTAATTTTTATTTTATATTGGAGTATAGTTGATTGACAATGTTGTTTCAGGTGTACAGCACAGTGATTAATACACATGTATCTATTCTTTTTCAAATTCTTTTCCCATTTAGGTTATTGCAGAATATGGAGCAGAGTTCCCTGTGTTATACATTAGGTCCTTGTTGGTTATCTATTTTTTATTTTTTAAATGTTTTTGGCTGCACTACGCGGCTTGTGGGGTCTTAGTTCCCCAACCAGCGATTGAACCTGCACCCTCAGCAGCGGAAGCACGGGAGTCCTAACCACTGGACCACCAGGGAATTCCCTATCTATTGATATTTTAAATATAGCAGTGTGTACGTGTCAATCTCAAATTCCCAATCCATCCCTCCCCTCCACCCTTCCCCCCTGGTAACCTTTAAGCTTGGTTCTCTAAGTGAGTCTGTTCCTGTTTTTTAAGTTCATTTGTATTTTTTTTTTTTTTAGATTCTGTATATAAGTGATATCGTATGATGTTTTTCTCTGTCTGACTTAATTCACTTCGTATGATAATCTCCAGGTCCATCCATGTTGCTGCAAATGGCATTATTTCATTCTTTTTAATGGCTAATATTCCATTGTATATACGTACATCTTCTTTATCCATTCATCTGTCGATGGACGTTTAGCCCATGGATTTCTAAGTCTCCTTTCCCACTGCCGAGGAGCTTAGCAATGCACTCAAGCCAAAGGCGGGATGAAACCAACCCCCAAATCCCATCTTTGTGTGTTTATCTCTGGGAACACTCCAAATGCCAGTGCTCTATCAGTTTGGATCCAGTCTGGAGAGAAGAAAAACCATACGGTAATTTGAACAGGGAAAAGTTTAATATAGAGAATTAATGACTTTCACAGCAAAGTGAAATAAGGAGGGAGATTCATTGGTAAGGTGCCTTGGAATTTACTGAAAATCCACCTTCAGGGGTGTGGTGGAGAGGCATTCACAGGGAGGTGCGTCCGTGGAGTCTCTATAGAACTGCCAGGTCAGGGGTGCGGGGTGCCGGGGAAGCTGCTGACCACCTGACGCTTCAGGAAGCAGGTGCGCGGGGCAGCCATGCGCTGCAGGGCCGCTGAGCTGGCACTCCTGAGCGCCGCCAGAAAGCAAAAGCCTTGCCTCTCGAGCGCCCTCTACTGGCAAACCTTATCAGGCCGCTTAGCAAAGGAAAAATATTTCAAAGGCCCAGATCAATTTTCACAGAGCAAACAAGCAAGCTGAATTTGGAGCTGAGTCAGTAACTCAATAAGCGAGAACACTGTGGGACTTGGGATGCTCCCAGCATTTAGTGGGTGTGGCCCAGGGATGCTTCAGCCTGAAGTGAGCTTGAGTCGTCCCACACAGGGAAGAACCATCCCTATAAAATGCCCATAGCACCTTCTGTATCAGTCAGGTCCTGGCAGGAAACAGTAGCACACTCAAGTGAGATAATCCGACAAGAGCCTTCTGACAAAAGGCAAGAGAAGTTTCTTGACGTAGAGGTGGGCACGCTGTGGGAGCACCACAAGGGGGAGTGCAGCTCCCTGAGGCTACTTGCAGCCCGAAGCCCTTACCTCCCCCAGGCCTGAAGAGGCAGGAGAAGGGGGTTCCTGGAACTGGGAAGGAGAGAAGTGTGTGGAAAGGGCTGCCTGGAGCTGCGAGCTTCACCCCAGGGTGCAGCCAGCCAGAGCACCCCCGCGGTAGGGGACAAGCCACCTCACTCCCCTTGCCTCTGACCTGCCAGTGCCTCTGATCCTAGCCCGACCCCCCGAGTTGAGTGAACCCAACTGGAAGCCAGAAGAAGGGTGAGCTGTTAACCTTTCAGCACAGCCTGACTGAGACCCAGCTCCACACGGACGGGGCCAAAGGCTAGGCAGGGATGGGGCTGCTGGCTGTGTCCCGGGACTGCTCCTCTGGCCCCAGCTTGAGGCCCTGGGCCCAGTCAGCCCCCAGAACCTCACAGTTGGGCAGCATTTCCTCCACCAAGATCTGGACGAGGCCTGGGTTGGACACGGCAGGAAGGTGAGAGATGTCCAGTCTGCGGAGGTTCCTGAGGAGGCAAGGCTGGGGCGTGAGGACACAGCGGGTGTGTGGTGTATGGGGGCGTACCCACCCCCACGGTAACCCCTAGCTTTCTAATAAAAATCTTTGTTCGACTACGTGAGACCCACCCTGTGTTCATTACAAACGGACACCTCTGGCTCCTACTGTTCTGCAACAGTGTAAATTTCTTGGGGTCCCATTAAAACAAAAAGGAAGGCAGGCTAGGAGTCCTCCCATCCTCCTAGAGGCTCCCTGCGCCACTCATCTGTGCTGACCCACCGCAAACGCTCTAGGTCCACCGTGGAGGCAGGGATGTGGGAAGTGCCCAAGAGCGCCCCTCCCTGGCTGGGGGCCCAGCCTGAGCTGAGGTCTCACTGGAGGTGGTGGAGGCAGGCGAGGCCCCGTTCAGAGATGCGGGGGCAGCCGGCCAGCGAGAGCTCTCGTAGCGAGTTGGCTAGCTGGTGGAGGCGGCTGAGACACCAGTCATCCACGTGGGGACAGCACTGCAGCGACAGGGACTGGAGCTCCTTCAGGGCCACTGCAGGGGCGGAGGGCAGACGCACTGAGGGTCCTTCTGGAGCCCACCACGAAAGGGAAAGCGCAGAGCCTTGCCCATCTGCGCCCCTCCCCGCCACACCCTACTCACAGAGGTTGTCCAGGCCTTGATAGTTGATGGCACAGCCGCTGGCGTCAACAGCCTCGACAGGCACCTCCCGGAGCTTCCAGAGCTCACCAGAGAGACCACGCCCATCTGGCCACATCCACTCCTTGTCCTGAAACCTGGAAGGGGAGAGAGGGAGTGTCAGCAGGGTCCCTCAGGCCACCAACCTCTTGAGAACACTCCCAGCCCCGTAATAAGAGAACATGGCACACTCACTACACACCAGGCCCTGCACTAAGGGCTTTACGTGTCTGGTCTCACTGGATCCCCTGACAACCCCATGAAAGATGGGACATCTGGCCAATTTTACATACCTGCAAGTTGAGGGTCGAAGAGATTACTGAGAACAGAGAAAAGAGCTATACGACAAGAATCCTTGCAGGTGGGCAAAAGTTGCGGTGTTTTCAGACAGATACATCATTTCTAAGGAAGGTGCTGGAGCAAGTGCTCAAACCAAGTGAAAATTTTACTTGGAACCAAGATGAGGGACAGATGAAGCCTACATGAATTGTTTTCAAAAAAGGAAAGTAAAGGGGAAAAACAAAGGGAGGAGGAGGAAGGCAAGAAAAAGGAGGGGAAAGGAGGAAGGAAAAGACGCACTAATGCCGACTGAGCACGTGTGCTAAGCCAGCCTGTGACAAGTGTCCAGATTGCAAAATATCTTTGAATCTTTACAGCTCACCTTGTAGGTTAGACACAACTACCATCCCATTTTACAGATGTCAGGAACAAGTCCCCAGCCACACAGCCAGGAGGGGGCAGAGACCAGGGCACGCATGGAAGCCTGTCCGACTGACTGAAGAGCCCGGGGCTTAGAGAGCCGCTCTCCTGCCTCCCCCAACCCCATTCTGACACCTTTGCCATCATACTTGACTGCGCCTCCCTGCTTCAGGATGAAATAGGCACCTGCGACGTAGGGGCCATATCGCTCCTTGATGTAGGTGAAGGACCTGCCGGGAGAACAGTAGCCGAGGGTGAGCCTTGGGAGCCTGGCCACACCCCTCGCCAGGCCCCAGGGCTGCTGAGGGTCAGAGTCCACAGCACAGGACAGACTGGCAGGCAGGCAGGCAGACAAAGACTGCAAATATTTACTAAGGGCCTATGAAGTGCTGGGCACTGGGGGACAGTGGTAATCAAAAGGCAGATAATTGTCCCTGCCCTTGTGAAGTTATTTCACTGGGGAAACAGGTAACCGGGAAGTAAAAACAAATTGCAGAGTGTCAATTCTGTGATGAAATTAACACCAAGGGACAGACCAGGAGTGGCTTGGGTCAGGGGTAGGGATAGAGGAGGCTAATTTAATTTGGGTGTTAAGAAATGCTTCTCAGAAGAGGTGACACTTGAGCAGAGATTTGAGTGTGGGAAGGAATGCAGAGGTCAAGGTAAGAATCTGCCAGGCTAAGGGAACAGCTAGTGCAAAGACTCAGGGGCTTGAATTACGATGGCTGAACAAACAGCAATAAGGACACCGAGCTGGCGGGGGTGAGGGGTGTCCCTGGTAGGGGTCTCAAAGCTCAGTAGGGGCCAGGTGTTAGGCCTTAGAGTTTGGCTTTTATTCTAGTTGCAGCTGGAAACCATTTGAGGGGTTTTTGTTTTTAAGATTTTTTTTTTTTGATGTGGACCATTTTTAAAGTCTTTATTGTATTTGTTATAATAATGCTTCTGTTTTATGTTTTGGTCTTTTGGCCACGAGGCATGAGGGATCTTAGCTCCACGACCAGGGATTGAACCTGCACCCCCTGTATTGGAAGGCAAAGTCTTAACCACTGGACTGCCAGGGAAGGCCCCATTTGAGGGTTTTAAACAAAGTAGTAATGTTATCTGCTTCCCTTTCTTAAGAGTCCTCTGGCTGCTGTGTAGACTATAATAGGGGGCAAAAGGTGACCAGTTAGGAGATGACTGCAGTAATCCAACCATAAAATGAAAGGGCTCAGACCAGGCTATAAACAGCGAGGTGACCGACCACCGGTCAAATTTGGGATATTCTGGTATTTTATTGATGGACTGGATGTGGAGGGAAGGGATGCAAAGAGAGGGATCAGGGATTCCTTAGAATGTGGTCTGAACAACCGGGTAAGCAATGGTGCCGTTGACTGGGATGGAGAAGGCTTGGGGGTGAGAAGACATTTTAAGGGGGAAACCAAGGGTTAGCCATGTTAGGTCTGAAGTGCCAGCTAGACGTCCAAGAAGAGATGGGCATTGGGTTGCATCTGTGAGCCGGAGAGCTTGGGAAGTGTGTGGGCTGGAGACGAAGATGCAAGTGGGCAAGGCTGGCAATGGAAGCCCCAGGGCTGCCTGGAGTGGCAAGGGCAGGGTGGGCACTGACTGGGGAGGCCTGAACAGCGGGGTCGTGCAGGCCAGGGGTTCTCACCGATTTCTCTGGAGCACCTTCAACACCTGCTTCTGGAGCAGGTACTCCCTCACAGCCTCCACATCATAGAAGCGGTCGGCCAGGAATTGGAGCAGTGTCCTCCCCTTCCTCTGACTGCCCTCCGGGTCCACTGACCTGCTCAGGCCACGGATGCCGCTGGTACCCCCGTTCCACACTGGAGCCACCAGGCGAAGGGACTGGGGAGGAGGAGAGGGGAGGGGAGGCTGAGCCTGGAGCCCCTGTGAGACGCACAGCCAGATCCCCCTGCTTTTGCTCCCAAATGTCCCCTCCTCAGTGCTTCCCTGCTCACTTAATTCCTCTCTCAGAATTTCCAGTTCTTTCGGATCCATAAAATTTCCCCATGTTTCCCCCAAGTTCTTCCCCTTAATCAACCTTAAATTCTCTTTGATTTGGCCAAACGGTCTTGGTTTTCTTAAATTCTCCCCCTAATTTGCCCCTAAGCCCTCACTTTCTCTCAAAACCTCTATTATCTGAACTCTTAATGTCCCACAAATTTTCCCCTTAATTTTATCCAAATCCCACAAGACTTCCCGAATAACGCATTCCTTTCCCCCAATATAATCTTAATTTCTCTCCAAACCACCCTTAGCTTATCTCTTAAAGCTCCCAAACATCCTTCAATTTCCCCTCCAAAGTTTTCTCTTAGTCTGCCTCAATTTTTCTTTTTGCTTTAACCAAGTTCTCCTGATAATTTTGCCCAAATCCTTACTTTCCCTTAAAATTCCTCTTAAGTTCCCAACCTCTTACTTTAAGTTTTCCTAGGTCCATTCCTTGATTTTGCCCAATTCCTTCTAAATTCTCTCCACAATATAGCAAATCCTCCCCTTAATTTCCCCTAGGTCCTTCCCTTAGAATTCCCAAATTCACCTCTTGGATCCTGCCCCCACCCCCCATCATCCCTTTGATTTTCCATCAAAACTTCTAACTCTCCCATGAGTTTCCCTCACCTTTGTTTCCCTACCCTTGCACCTCAAATCCCAGTTTCTCTGCCAATCCCTCCGAAACCCTCATCCCTCGCAGGTCCCACTCTCGCCAGCCCCTCGGCTCCAGGAGCTCGCAGTCAGATCCCTCCCTCTGATTGGCTGGCGCGCTTTCTCGGACCGCACGCGCTGCTTCCCCATTGGTTGCCACTGGTTTCTCTCCTCCGAGGCCTGTAAGCCTCACCGATCCTTCCCGGCCCCCGACGGCTACACGTCTCCGCGCCCAGCTCGAAGCCTAGCGGGAGAGGCCCCTGCTCCCCCTCGCTACTTGGTCCCTGGGCGCCCACAGAGGCCCCCGAAATTAGAGCGGACACTAATTGGGGGGAGGGCTCCAGAAGCTTCGTTCACTTACCGCCCTGGGGGCCGCCATCTCGCTAGGATTATGTAACCGGAAGGGCCTGGTCTTTTCTTATCTAACCCACCCGGTTCAGGGTTGGGCGTCTTTTCTTATGGCCACGCCCCCTCCATTTTCCAGCCCTCCTCTTAAAGGTGCACACACTTATTACTCTTCTCGGGTTTAGGGATCGCTTGGAGCTCCGTCTGCCATGGGCCTTAAAATGGGACTCGGCAGCCTTTCCCTAGGAGAGCGTGGGCAGTCCTTCCTGTTGGAATACCATCCTTCCCTCCGGCTGCACTCTTAGTCCGCCTGAGGTTCCCTGTTCTTCTGCCTCAACTTGCTACCTCCTTAGAACAGGGAATGATGCGTTGAGAAACTGTCCGCCTTGTCTTTAAAGCAGGGTCAGGGAAGGGAAGCGTCCAGTAGACGGTGAGGTTAGACCTCAGGGTAAAGGACAGAGGTGAGATCTCAAGTCTAGTATTGTGATGTGTTGGCGATTTCAGTTTGGAGTTCCAGGCTACAGCTTAGTGTGAAAATTCAATATAATGTCTTGTGGATAGAATTACTCATTCATTCCTTCTACAAATATTTACTGAGTCCTACCACGTGGCAGGCACTGTTGCAGTAGTGAGGTTGCCATGGGACCAAGACTCTTAGGGAGTCGACATTCCAGGCAGGAAGAGGCTAGATAAGAAACACATGAATAAGCAAGATAATTTCAGACAGTGTTTGATAAGAGGCAAATAAAAACAGGCAATATAATAGGGAGTGACTGGGGCACAGGGCCATCAGCAAAGACCTCTGTGACGTGGTGACATTTAAGTGGAGGTGAAGGATAACAAGGAAACAGCCATTCAAAGATCTGGGGGAAAAGTGTTTCAGGCAGAGAGGTACAGCCAGTGCAAAGGCCCAGAGGTGGGACCAGCTTGCAGAGAGAGAGAGGTGGGAGACTGTGTCAGAGAGGTGAGCAAGAAACTGTGCTTTATTCCATTCGCCGGCGCATGCCACGATCTGATTGACATTTTGTAAAGATCATTTCTGCCAGGTGGAGAACAGACCTTAGAGAGCAAGGCGGGGGAGCACGGAGCCAGCAAAGAGGCTACTGCAATCGTCCAGACAAGAGATGAATGGGGGCAGCAGCAGGGACCGCGCAAAGGAAGTGCTAAGTGCTCAGATTATGAGTCTGTTTTGGTTTTTTTTTTTTTTTGCGGTACGCGGGCCTCTCACTGACATGGCCTCTCCCGTTGCAGAGCACAGGCTCCGGACGCGCAGGCTCGGCGGCCATGGCTCACGGGCCCAGCCGCGGACGTGGCATGTGGGATCTTCCTGAACCGGGGCACGAACCCGTGTCCCCTGCATCGGCAGGCGGACTCTCAACCACTGAGCCACCAGGGAAGCCCCTATGAGTCTGTTTTGAAGAGGCATGTGGGATCTTCCTGAACCGGGGCACGAACCCGTGTCCCCTGCATCGGCAGGCGGACTCTCAACCACTGAGCCACCAGGGAAGCCCCTATGAGTCTGTTTTGAAGACAGAGCCAATAGCTCGAGAAACTAAAAGGATAGCGATGCCATTTTTGGAGAGGGGAAACTGGGAAAGTAGCAGGTATGGAAGGGTAGGTGTGGTAGGCTGAATAGTTCCCCCGCCCCCCAAATGTCCACATCCTGATTCCTGGAACCCGTGAATATGTTACATTGTATGGTAAAGGGAAGATGTGATTAAGAATCTTGAGATGGGGAGATTATCCTGGATAATCCCGACAGGCCCAATGTAATCACAAGAGTTCTATTTTTTTTTCTTTATAAATGTATTTATATTTATTTATTTATTTTTGGCTGCGTTGGGGCTTCGTTGCTGCACGCGGGCTTTCTCTAGTTGCAGCAAGCAGGGGCTACTCTTCGTTGCGGTGCACAAGCTTCTCATTTCGGTGGTTTCTCTTTGTTGAGAAGCACGGGCTCTAGGCGCGCGGGCTTCAGGAGTTGTGGCTCGCGGGCTTAGTTGCTTCGCGGCATGTAGGATCTTCCCAGACCAAGGCTGGAACCAATGTCCCCTGCGTTGGCAGGCGGATTCTTAACCACTGCGCCACCAGGGAAGTCCCAAGAGTTCTCTTCTTTTTAAAGCAATATTGTTTTCTCCACAATACAACATGTGGAGGTTACAGAAAAGCAGAAAGATCAGGTCGGTCGAATCCCAGCAACCCCAGTGCCCCCCTCATCTCCTGTCTCAGGACTTTAGGTGTAAGCCCCTCCTTGTGAACTCTTTTCTGCCCCCGACCTGTCTGGCCCTGACAGGTGGCTCGGGTGGTCAGAGCCCAGCGAGGTGGCTGTTGATCCCTGGACACGCTGGGCAGCCTTGTCCATGAGCGCCCGGTGGGCAGCGTGGGGTGCCGGGGCTCTGTTCCTCACGACGGGCTCCTCGGTGCTGGGAGGGCTGAGGGGGCAGAGCGCAAAGCCAGCCTGCCGGACCAGTGGGCTCCCACAGTGAGGGGCTGAAAAGGCCTGGAGCCCCCGTGGTGTGAATGAATCCCCTCCCTGCTCAGGCTCCTGCACCGTCTGGGCAGCTCTGGGCCGCTCTGGGTTCCATTTGGCTAAAGGCCACGAGGGGCGAGACCATAGCTCCTCAGGTTGCGGGGAGCTGAGGGGGCCTCTGCCTGGGGCACGTCCTCATCCTGCAGGCTCAGTCCTCAGGGCCCTGCTGTGCCCCAGCTGTCCCCTAGGGGTCAGCTTGAGACCAACCAAGCAGAGGGAGCCTGGATCATTACTTGGGCTTCCCAGGTGCTGCTAGGCGAGGAGTGGTTTGGGACCAAGCGAGGATGACGTAGGATGGGACCACAGGAGCATGCCTCCCCCCACCCCCAGGGTGGGGCAGGGACCTCTGACGTCAGCACTTGACGAGAGGGTCACAGTTAAAGTAGTGAAACACTCTGTGGTGCTGGTTGGTAAACAGCCTGGGGACACCCACCCCATTCACCCCTCTTCCAGGCCCCTGGAACCCAACCCCCCAAACCAGCTATCACCGCAGGCGCTCGGGGCCTGCTCTCCAGACAATGCAAGTCCGTCTGGGTAGGTGGACCTGCATCCCACCAGCTCTTTTTTTTTTTTTTAATTGCAGTATAGTTGATTTACAATGTTGTGTTTCCTGCTGTACAGCAAAGTGATTCAGTTCTACATATACATATATATACATTCTTTTTCATATTCTTTTCCATTATGGTTCATCACCGGATATTGAATATAGTTCCCTGTGCTATACAGTAGGACCTTGTTGTTTATCCATCCTATATGTAATAGTTTGCATCTGCTAATCCCAAACTCCCAATCCATCCCTCCCCCGCCTCACCTCCCCCTTGGCAACCGCAAGTCTGTTCTCTATGTCTGCGAGTTCGTTACTGTTTCATAGCTAGGTTCATTTGTGTCATATTTTAGATTCCACATATAAGTGATATCATATGGTATTTGTCTTTCTCTTTCTGACTTCCTTCACTTAGTATGATAATCTCTAGGTCCATCTGTTGCTGCAAATGGCATTATTTCACTCTTTTTCTGGCTAAGTAGCATTCCATTGTTTATATATACCACATCTACTTTATCCATTTATCTGTTGATGGATATTTAGGTTGTTTCCATGTCTTGGCTATAGTAAATAGTGCTGCTGTGAACATAGGGGTGCATGTATCTTTTCGAATTATAGCTTTGTCTGGGTATATGCCCAGAAGTGGGATTGCTGGATCATATGGCAACTCTATGTTTAGTTTTTTGAGGAACCTCCATACTGTTCTCCATAGTGGCTGTACTGATTTACAGTCCCACCAACAGTGTAGGAGGGTTCCCTTTTCTCCACACCCTCTCCAACATTTATCATTTGTAGACTTTTTAATGATGGCCATTCTGACCAGTGTGAGGTGGTACCTCACTGTAGTTTTATTTATTTAATTTATTTATTTATTTATTTTTGGCTGTGTTGGGTCTTCGTTTCTGTGCGAGGGCTTTCTCTAGTTGCGGCGAGCGGGGGCCACTCTTCATCACGG